GATCCTTCCTTCAGCCCCAGTATGATTCCTACCAGTTCAAAGTGCATGGTCAATGATTTTGCTTGGGTAAAGACGCCATATCCCACACCTTATGCTAACTATACTGAAACGTGACCCTTCCTGCCTGGTAGCTGTGGGCCCACGATTAATGCCAAATTAAGTACCATCTCTATTAATGCACTGAGTCAGCAACTATAGCCTTGTGAAATGTTCCTTGCTCATTTTCCCTGGGCAATTAAGTGTGTTTGATGAGCAAGGGCATTCGCCGCTTGAATCAGCCACGAGGATTGGGGGAATGTTGCATCAGCTACTCTGGCTCCTCCTCCTCCTCCAACGAGGCTGTGGGAGTGGTTCTGGTCTAACGTTTGACACTCACGGCTTCTAGAAGCTTACATGGTAGCACGTATATTCTGGTGAACCTCAGAAATTCAGAGGCAAAAGCCTCAGGGGGTGGATCTTATTGGGCACCATTAAGTATGCCGCAGCAGGAGGTCTGAGCTATAGGGCATGATCCTTTAGAAGGTTCTCCTACTTGGGCATGCTTAGGATTGCCATATTTCAAAGAGTAAAAACCAGGACACCCCGAAAGTTGTTGATTGACTTGCCTAAGATCCAGGACAAAGCGCCACTTCTCGGAAATCCCCCCAGATGTCAATTCCGCCTGTTAGATCCTGGTAATGCCTAGGAAAATCTGAACGTATGGCAGCTCTAGGCATATTGTACCCCAACTCTGATTTGTTTGAAGAGGTCTTGTGCAAGAGAACTTCCCGATGGATTGCATCATTATGAGGCACCCTGCTTCCCAGTGCTAAATGATCAAAGGGAAAGGGCTATATCCAATACTAGTCCTACTCAGACTCGACCCATTGCAGTTCATGAACAGGGCTAACTTGGGTTCATTTATTTCAATGGGTCTATTCTGATTAAAACTTAGTTGGCTACAACACTTAGTGAGAATAAAAAAGTCACCCAGAGGAAAATGCAGAGATGCTTTTATGTGTAGTTTAAAGCAGGGGTGGGGAACCTCAGGCCCAGGGGCCAAATACAGCCCCCCAAGCCTGTCAACCTGGCTCTCGGGACTCTCCCCATGCCACACGCCCTTCCCTAGCTGCACTCACTCTCGCTAGACCTGCTTTGCACCTCCCTTGAGTGCGTTTGCCTGGCTGGAAGGTGTCCTTGGGCTCTGATAACACCTCTCGCTTGCCTGGATGGAGAGGGGTGTGTGAGTGCGCACAGAAACTAGCCTACATATAAAGAAAGGTCAAATTAGTACTCTTTGTTCTGCTGACTTTCTGCCTCAGGTCACATCCACTGGCATATATGGATGGTTGCCCAATAATTATCCATTGCCCATATGACGTTCTTCTCCAAATCACGGCCTTCCCACACTTTCCCATTCCCTCAATCTGGATTTCTCATACCCTCTCCTTTTCAAAGTATCCCTGGTATGATGAAATCCAGACTGGTGGGGTGGGATGGGAAAGCAGTGATTTGGAGAACATAATATGGAGAGTGGATAATTAATGGAGGTACAGTAAATATAATGAATATAATGTCCCCATGCTGAAATAGTATCATTGATGTAACATGGGTGTTCATTCCATTTATTTTGTTGTTCTTTGCTTGGTCTAAGTGCAGAATGTGTATATATGTAAGCTCAGGGAATTGGCCCAGTGATTCTCACAACCCTGTAAGGTAGGCAAGGCAGTGAATACGCAAGAATAGCCCTGCTGGATCAGGGCAGTGGCCCATCTAGTCCATCATCCTGTTTCTTGCCATGGCCAACCAGGTGCCTGTGGGAAGCCTGCCAGCCGGGCCTGAGTACTACAGCATTCTACACACTTGTGATTCCCAGAAACCATTGTGGGTCCCGATAGCCTTATCCTCCAAATGTTAAATGTGGGGGGAAACAGTTTGTGTGGGGCAGTGAAGAGGGTAGACGGTCCTTGATGGTCTACATGTTTTTGAGTTTGTGCATCAGGAGTGGCAATACATACGAGTGCTGTTTTTAGGCCACAACCCTATTCTGTGCACACTTACCTGGGAATAAGCCCCACTGAAGCCAGTGGGACTTCATCCTGAGTAGACATTTATAGGATTGCGCTGCTCGTTTGAAGTTAGTGTAATCCTTTGGGTAGAGCTCACAATCTATCAACAGCTGAATGTGGGTGAGTGGGGTGGAGAACCCTGCTGGCTTTCATCCCAGATGTCTTGTAGGTGACTGATGCCCTCCCATGCTAAAAGGATGCTTCCCACATTCCTGCAAGTCACTCCCTTGTCCCAGTACCTTGGGGGTGAGAGAGCTAATGCAAGGAGGGAAAGGAAGCTGATAAGTTGTGCCTGGAACAGCAGCAGGTCTGCAGGCATACTGGCCTCTAAGGGAAAAGTCTGTAGCTCAGTGGTAGAACAGCTGCTTTGGGTGCAGAAGGTCCCTAGATCAATGCCCTGCATCTCCAGACATGGCTGGGAATGTCCCCTTTCTGAAACCCTGGAGGGTTGATGTCAGTCAGTGTGGATGATACTGAGCTAAATGATATAAGGTAGCTTCTTATGTAAGCTGCGTGGCCTGCATTAGAGAAGGAGGTCCCAGGTTCAGTCCTTGGCATCTCCAGGGTTGGGGAAGGCTCCCATCTGAAAGCCCGGAGAGCCATTGCCAGCCAGTGTACTGGGATAGCACTGGGCTAGAGTAGCCAATAGTCCAGCTTGGTATAAGGCAGCTTTCGATGTTCCTTCTACATGAGCCAAGAGTCCTCTTGCATTAAATGGAGCACAAGAGACAGGCATATTTTTCTCTGTAAGCATCACTGAAATGAATGGGAGGTGCTATGAAATGAGCAGGTACAGAGCTGTGCTCTCAGTCAGCTCCCATTCACTTCAGTGAGGATTGCACAACTGATCTTCTCAGTGAATTGTGTGCCTCATGTGCAAAAGAAGCCTGAAAACGTGGAGGGGCCACACACACCTGCTTATGGCAGGTTCCCTTTGTGTATGAAAAATGGGCTGGTGTTCTTTGCCAAACATAATTTTCATATTTATGAACTCTGCAAATTCGGTAAATGCATACCAAGTGTTCTGCATCCAAAATTCAATTCCAGTCCATGTCCTTCATTGATGTATTTTTGGTTTTTTGCACCAGGCTGTAGGCCAGGAGTATTGGTGAAGGCAGAAGTGGAATTTTCCACTTCGGTGTTCCCTAACACCGAACTGGTCTGTAAAGGGATACCATGGCCTGCTACTCATCTTAGTGGTGTGTAAGCTGCTGAAAAACCACTCCTTCCTGGACTGAGAAACTCCAGGCTATGCCGGGAGAACATAAGAACCTGCCTTATACTGAATCAGGCCGTTAGTCCATCTAGTTTTGCATTGTCTGCACCAAGAGTGCAGATATTGTTGGACTCCATCTTCCATCAGCCCCAGCCACCATGGCCAATAATCAGGGATGATGGGAGTTGTAGTCAGCGACACCTAGAGGGCCACAGAAGCCCCGAGTTTGGTTTACACTGACTGGCAGTGGCTCTGTAAGGTTTCAGACAGGAGTCTTTTCCAGTTGTATCTGGAGATGGCAGGGATTGAACCCAAGAGCTTTTGCATGCAATGCACGGCTGTACTATTGAGCTTGGCCCTGCCACATAAAATGCCTGCCAAATCTCTGCGTAAGAAACTGCCTTATAGTGAGCCAAGACCATTGGGCCATTTGGCTCAGTATTGTCTACACTGACAGGCAGCAACTTTCCAAAGCAGGAAGAGCCAATGTGGTGCCCTTCACATGGTTGGATTCCAACACCCATTAGCCCCAGCTAGCATGGCCAAGTCAAGGATGATGTGAGTTGCTGTCCAGCAACATCTGGAGGGCACTGCATTGGCTAGCTTTGCCCTAGAGTTTCAGAGAGGAGTCTTTCCTGGTCATGCCTGGAGATCAAGCTTCTCATGCCGTGCTGCAGGAATCAGTGGTACTGCAGCAGCTCTCAAGGTCCTGGGAAAAGCATTAAGCTACTGAAATGCCACAGGAGACAGTCCCAGCTGCTGGCTGCTTGCAGTCTGAGCCGCACCCTCTCCAGTTTCACTGGAAGTAGAAACTGGCAACACATTGTCAGGTTCCATGAAAACTAGAAAAATCACTTTGAGATCTGAGAACAAGAGGTTTGCTCATCCGCCCTGTGATAGAGACAATGCAGTTTAATAAACCCTTTCTTCCAGAAATAAAGTGGAAGGCTTGGCTTAATTTATTATCAAACATTGATTTTCAAATTGTGTTCCAGGAAATCATGGTGGGATTTGAGGGTGGGTGGGTGGGGTTATCAAGGATTCCTTTGTGAGTGCTAGTAGCACATAAGGAGGAATGTGTTGATATCTCAACTTTGGTGTCTTTTAGTTTCTCATTTTTCCAGTCGTCAGTTCAATTCCCTACTTATACACATCAGTTTGCAGTGGTTGGTTTTTTTAAGCCCTCATGAAAAACTGTCAACATTTCAGTGCAAATTTGGTGCCTAATACTGTATGCACATTTATACGAAGCATTTCCTCCAAATATAATGCATTTTTGCATATATAACTTGCCACAGCAAAATTTGCAGAACCGCAAATTTAAAAGGATGGCTGTGTTTTGGTTCACACATTGTTTCGGAAAGTATAAATAAGGTAGGCTTGCTTTTAAATGTGAATTGGATTGTGTTTCTTCCCCATCCCTACTCATAAGTTCTACAAAATTATTCCTCTTCTGCTGAAAGCTGCAAGTAGAATTGCAGTTGGCCAACCACACTTTCAGCCCATAAGGATATTGGTTAAATTATTGGTCCCATTCTCATTTTTGTGAGGAGCCAATTGGTTAGGCCAGTGAGTGCCCTGCACCGGAACTCTGGGTTGTCACCAATACTAGTCCTACCTAGAGTAAACTCACTGAAATCAATGTATCTGTAACTTAGGTCCATTAACATCAATGGGTCTGCTTTGCCTGGACTAGCATTGGATTCAACCATAAATTCAGACAAAATCTCTCTCCCAGCCCGACCTGGGAATGCCCAGTATTGAACCCAGGACCTTCTGTGCACAACACACATGCTCTGTACCACTAAGCCATGGCCCTGCCCTAAGGCATGCACCCTCCTCACCAATTTTCTGTACAGCAATGGGAGTCCTTGGCACATGAGTCAAAGGGGAATGTTTCCCTGAATGTCCAAAGTCTGAAGCAATTTTTTGTGGTGCGCAGGGGTGGGTGGGATCCCACTGGTGGGATTAGCTCTGTCTCCTCTGTCACCTGAGCTAGGGAGAAACATTTGCAGCAGGTAGAGAGAAGCAAGGGCACGCTCTTCTCCTGGGTAGGTAAGCAGCAGCAGCCTCCCTTTTCTGCCCAGATCAAAGCCATTCCTGTCCCTGGCTGCCTCTCCCCAGGGTGGTTCTGCAACTCCACCCTGGCCTCTTTCATTCCCAGATAAGGCCCAACCTCATCTTCAGGTTGCACCGCTCTGCCTTCAGGCGTAACCTTTCCTCCCGCCTCCCCCGAAGCTTGCAGGAGCACCTCAGATTTCAGAGGAGCAGAAAAGCTGCCTTGACGTGCATCAACCTGTCTTCCACACGCTTTGCTTAGGCTTGCGCATTTCCCGGATCTTCTCTCCCCGTCCCACGGCATGCCAGCAAGAAGGGTTGGGGAACCCTCTGGGTGCCACCCCATTCCCCCTCCTACTGCCCAGGGGGTCTGGGGTGCGGGGAGAAAGAAAGTGAAGACCAGAACTACAAAAGGTAGGTGTGAAAGTGAACTTTTTATTGGGGAAGAAGACTGTAGCAAACCACCTCAGTAACACCATGATAACAAGAGGCCCTCTTGAGATTGCTATTCTTAACCCGCTCAGAAGAGTTCCCCCCGTCCTGCCCCCCCCGCTACCCTTGAAAAGGCCCACCACCTCCATCTTCTTACAACAGGATGCCCTGAGTGAGAAAACCCAGCAGATTTATTTTTTTAAAAAAGGGGGCCGTGAGAAGGAAAGGTGACAACTCTTGCTTAATTCTGTTCAGCTGCTACTTTGGCAACTTTACCACGCAAAACAAAACAAAAAAATTCATTCTTCCACAGTTAAACACTAAATATATGTATACACACATATACATTCAGATATCTCTGTCCTCCATGACAGGTCAGGAAGACTCTTGTGTTAACCAGGTGCTGACCAGATAGATACAAGAGTTAATACAAAGCAAGGAGCTCTGGGTTGCAGGAAGAGGTCACATACCAGCAAGTACAGAGGCCAGGAAATAGCGATGCCCCTCCAAAAAGCTGCCACATGAGAGTTAGGTAAATGCTGAAGTCCCATTTGCGCATGGATCAGTCCCCTTTTGCTATAAAAATCCAGCTGGAGCTCCCAGGAGCTGGAGAAAATGAATCTTATAAAAATAGGATGGGTTGGGAAAGTGGGACGGGTGGGAGAGAGACAGTGAGGTTGCAGGGGAGACAATGAGTTACCGTCGTTCTGCAGTCTGCAAAGTTCAGTTCTTTGGCTCTTCACCAGCCTCTCCCCCTTCTTCTCCTGAGCACTCTGCGGTCCATAATGTGAGGTTGTCCCTGAGAAGCTGCATGATGAGGGTGCTGTCTTTGTAGGAGTCTTCGCTGAGCGTGTGGAGGTCGCCCATGGCCTCGTCAAAGGTGGTTTTGGCTAGCTTGATGGCCTCTTCTGGGGCATTGGCGATCTCATAGTGGAAGACCGAAAAGTTGAGGGCAAGGCCCAGCCGGATAGGGTTAGTGGGCTGCATCTCCTTCTTGCTGATGTCCATCGCCTCTTGGTAAGCTTTCCGTGCATTGTCGATGATCTGCTTGCGGTCATCCCCAGTGGCCACCTCGGCCAAGTAGCGGAAATAGTCACCTTTCATCTTCAGGTAGAAGACTTTGCTCTCTGGGTCGCTGGCTTTCTTGATGAGGTGCTTGTCCAGCAGCCCCAGGACAACGTTGCAGACATCCTTCAGCTCCTTCTCAATCTTCTCCCGGTATTCGTTGACCAGCTGGGATTTGTCGTCGCCTTCCTCGGTCTTGTGCTCGATGCTGGAGATGACCCTCCAGGCAGACCTCTGGCAGCCGACCACGTTCTTGTAGGCGACGGAGAGGAGGTTGCGCTCCTCGTTCGAGAGTTCAGCTCCGTCCTCCACCACTGCCTTCATGAAGTCGGCCATGTCCTCATAGCGCTCGGCCTGCTCAGCCAGCTTGGCTTTCTGCACCTGGTGGTTCCTGGCCATCGTGGGGGCAACGGAAGGGAGTGCTGGGCAAGGAGATAGATCAGGCAGCTACTCGAAGAGCCCTCAAGAGTCTCTGCTGAGTTCAGCTGCCGGGATCGGCTTTTGGCTTTGGCGTCTCAGCCTGGAGCAAGAACAAGGCGTGGTGAAGAAGCGCTCAATGAGCTGCCCTTCCCCCACTTCCTTTCCTGCAGCCTCTCCTTAAAAGGAAAGTGGCAGTGATTCACTCTTTGAGCAAGACGGTGAATGAATGCTCACCTGCCCAGGGATGCAGACTGAGAGAGAGAGACAGACAGACAGACAGAGAGACCCTGAGACCTGTTAGGCAAGAGGTCGCTTGTCCTCCTGACAGGCATCATGGACAAAAATGGGCCACAGAGCATGAGCTCAAATAAAAGAGCGTCTCTTCCCCTCCAGGGGGCAGTGCACAAAACCCTAACCTGACCCACAAGTCCCAATCTTAACCCCTGTCCATCCCCAGAATTCTCTAGCCAGTATTTTCCAGGGGATTTCAGTATGCCTACTATTTATCTAATCACATTCATCCTTCCAAAAAATAATGGGAACTGTAGTTTTTCCAAGTGTGCTGGGAATCCTAGACCTGTGAGGGGTAAACTACAGTTCCCAGAATTGTTGTTGTTGTGTGTGCTTTAAATGTGTGGCATCTACACACCCAGTACTGACTATGTGAAATTGCCTCCCTTCCAAACATGGGACCAGTTTATATGATCAATGGAACAGGACCACAGCGGTTACTGTGGCTGATATACTGTTGTTGTTTTATTGATCTTTTAAACTGGATTTTTATTGTGATTTTATGGCTGCGTGAGCCATTTTAAATTAGAGAGCAGTATATATAGTAAATTATTTTAACAAATAAAGCTTTCCCTGAAATGTACCACAGCAGAGGAGAAGGGGTGCATGTTTGGATACTCTGCCATTAAACAAAAGGAATCCCACCCTCCCGCACACAGAAAGCATTAAACTTGGCCTTCTTCCTGACACATAAGTTTGACATATGTGGGGGGGGGGTTGTGGGAAAAGAGCAGTATTCAAATATGTGGGGGGAAATAAGCCACCTACAAACTGAAGCGGTACTAACCAGGAGCAGCTTTACCATTTAGGAACATAAGACCATTGGAAGGTGCCTTAGGTTGCCTACACACCATACATTTAAAGTACACTGTTCCACCCAAAGAACCGTGGGAACTACATTTTACCTCTTACAGAGATGCAATTCCCAACATCCATAACAAACTAGAGTTCCCAGGATTCTTTGAGACAAGTCATGGGCGGACGATACTTGGCTATCTGGAGCAATTTATGTGTGTTCAGTATGTGTGTGCAAACTGTGCGCGGCCATGTCGAACACGGACGTGACCCCAAAACGTCACAGAAAGGGACAGGGTTGGGGCTGAACAGGGTGTTTGCAGGCTTTTTCAATGGTGTTTCAAATATATGCAATTTCACTTAAATGCACGGTGGCTTGGAATGTAACCCCTGCGTAAATGATAAGTTGCCTGTAACTCAAAATGGCATATTCCCACTAGACACATATCCCACTGCCACCTGCAAGAATGTGCAGATAGTCAAATATGGCTATGCTCACCCCGCTTCTCCAGGCTGATGCTCTTTGGAAGAAACTCACTCGATGTCATGGGCCAGGAGTCAGCTTCACCTGCTGAGCAGCAGCCTGAAGGAGCCAAAGGTGAAGTGACTCCACCTGCTGCTGATCAGCCTTCTTGCTCCTGATGAGAACCAGCAGGCTCCAGCTTTCTTAAGCAGGGTTTCCAGCCTCAGTCAGGTGCGGGAAACAACCTTCGTCGTTCCTGGCCCAACCTTGCTGTTTCTTGTGACCTTGGACCCTTGGCTTTCTTGACCCCTGGATTGTTTGACTACGTGAACTAAGATACTCCTGACCTTAGGACTGGACCTTGTATGCAAACTCTGTCTCCAGGCAAGTACCCCCCTGAGACTTGGCTGGCTGGCTTCTTCTTCTGCTGAGCTCTGCCATGGCTGGCAGCACAGGACTAAGACACTGGAAGCTTATTGGCAGACTGTGGTTGGTGGGGCACTGTCCCATTTGCCCTAATAGCCCAGCCTCCTAACTGTTCTGTTTTTAACACAGCTGTTCAAGTTTACATAGAGATCCAAGTTCAAGGAACTCTGCATGTGATAGAACACAAATCTCCTTAGCCCAGTGACTTGCAGCTAATAGGAAGACAATAATACAGATAATCACCTAAAGACATCACGATTTAGCTCAAAGGTGTCAAGCTTGTTGGCTGGAGTCGTTTTCCTTTTCTGTGATATCTCTAAGAAGCACCTGCCACACCTAACAGTCACTTTACAGTTTGACAGGGAGGAGTGGACTCCTCTTCGGAGAGGTGCGGATGTGGCATCTGTTCACACATGTTCACACTCGGTGATTGCAACCTCATGTGATGATCGGCATATGTGAATCAGCCACGACAAATCATCACAGGCCAAGGATCTCACACACCTATCTTAGGAAGCTGCTTGTAGTTAATCAAATTATTGGTTCATCTAGCCCAGTACTGTCTACTCTGACTGGTAGCAACTGCAGGTGCTGTCAGGGAAGGACTTTGGGACTGAGGTCCAGGGCCCAACTCACCAGGAGGGGCCCCCAAATGCAGCAGAATACAGTGTTACCTTGGTTCTCGTATGTCTCTGTTGACTAACATTTCAGAACCCAAATGCTGAAAAACTGGAAGTAAATGCTTCTGTTTTCAAACACGCCTTGGAAGTCAAACAGCATCCGCTACGTGTTTTTCAATTTTCTCAGTTGAATTTGCAGACAGCCCTTTGCACCTCGGTTTTCAAACATTTTGGAATTCAAACGGT